AGTGGGTTCAATTAACTTGATGGACAGACTTGTACTTACAGAAAAAAGATCAATTTTACAAAATCAAGACGTCTGTTTTAGGATCTGAAGTGTGCCAGACAGTAAGATGTTCTGTGTGTAATTCAGTAATATATGGCTGTGTTAAGTGCAACTATAAACTTTTTAATGTTTTCTAATATGAAAAAATACATTGTCACAAAATGTAGTTAGTAAAAGTCTAGGAAGACTTTCCAACCAATATTAAATTTGTGTCTTTCGGCCATTTCTGCACTGTGAGATTTTTCTAAAACTGCACAACACAACACATTACAATAAATGCAGTGAGAGGAGTAATGCCATAGTATATCCTCCTGTAAGTCTTTATATTTCAGAAGAAGGTTTTAAAGTGATAGGTTTACAAAGTGAAGCAATTGCTCCCAAATTCCTGGTTGAGTGCCTTTCTGGAATGGAGGAACACATTCTTCTGTTGGCTTTTTCAGGCTGAGATCAAAAAAGATCTTTCTTTTGACTCTTCTATCTGTATGACTCTCGTATGTCCCTTTGTTTGTTTTGCAGTTCTTTGTACAAGATTTTTGTTCATCAGTGTCCTTAGGTTAGGGATTTACCGTCTCAATAGGTTTAAGACTGCAAGTAAATTCTGATAAAGAAGAATTTAACTTGAAACTAGCTTGGAATATTGTACTTGGTAAGTTATTTTCAGGTCAATATAATTAATTAACCTGCATAATGGTTGCTTTATTGAAATTGCCACTGCACAAGAGATCTTTCTAAAGAGATCTTTCTAGTATAGGGTGAACAACTTTGGACTGTCTGGGACCATTTTTAAAATTTAAAATCATGCTGTGTATGCCCACTCCGTAGTGCCCATGTAGTGCTTACAGTGCTGGACTTGGGACAGATAAAACCTGGGTTTTTACTCTGCCATAGTGCTCAGGTTTGAGGCATGGACCAGTCACTGTTTCAGCCTAATGTGTCTCTTAGTGTTATGAGACTGGCTGGGCCCATATATGCTGCCCTCTTTAGCTAGGTTAGCCTAGCTGAAGAGGAAGAAAAATCTGTTCCTTCACATCTAGCATGGAAATGCAGTAAGAGGAGTAATACCATGCTATATTCTTCTTCCACCAGCCTTCTTGATAGAAGCCAACTTTTTGACTAGCCTGCTGAGTTGGACAGCTTGTTTTTCTGTGCTCAGAGAAGGAGGGTATATTTCCCCCTCTAGTTTCTTAGGAGGATAGCAATTTTATGTGTAGGCTTGTAACTTATTTGTGAGTTGAATGGGCTAGAATGCGTCCAGGTATGGGCTTCTGGCTGAGATATTGGCTAGCTAGATGGTTCTATCATCTGCTGTTGTGGACCTAAACATTTTCTGTAGCTGAGCAGAAGTGAATGGTTAACACTAAACACTGGTACAGACATGGAAGAAGGAGACATATGAGATTAGTACAAACAAACAGGATTAGCAGCTGAAAGACAAACGGAAAGAATCTGCATATTTATGGGTGATTTAGTCTGAGATGTGTAAATATAGAGCCTCTTTCCAGTTAGAAAATATTGGGAAAATCAGTTTGAAGTACGTCATGTGACATGGATATTTTAGAAAAGCAGGAAGTATCCTCAGTTGCCATGATTTCCTTGGGTGGCTGGTGAGAGGTGGTGGTCTTATATGAGCCTCAGTACCCTCGTTCTGCATGGCTGCTCACAACTTCTAGGATTATAGCTATTAAATGGTACTTTGAAGGTTATGACCTTGCAATGGCTTCTGTACATCTGCTAAAATCTCCTAGGCTTGAATTCTTCAGAGGTTGTAGAGCACCTAACCATAGCATTATGTAGGGAGAAGAATGTTAGAACTATTGTCTTCCATTTCCTATAACATATTTCTATTACCTTACATTTAAAACAGTTTTCTGAACACATAATGTTAAAAAAAGGAAATAGCAACTCTTTAGATCTGAAAGAAGAGCTAGGGTATAATAACTGGAGCAGAAGCTTACATTATGGTCCATGAATTCCATTCATGGAGTCTTGGAAAGGCTGTGGAACAGTCTAGAACAGTGGTGGCGAACCTATGGCACGTGTGCCGCAGCAGCACGCAGAGCCCGCTCTGTTGACACATGAGCCAAGTCACCTCAGCATCGCCCCAGCAGCTGAGCATCAGATAACAGCACACATAGGGGCCATGTGCATGCTTGGAAAGGAGTAGCAGTGCCAGGCAATGATGTCACGGGCTGTGACTCATTAGCTGTGACTTGTCCGAGCTTTTGCATGGCCGGTCTGTGTGCTGCCAAGACTGGCTGTGAGTTTTAATACATTTGTTTTTATTATCACAAGATTTTAACTTCGAGTTTTCTTATGAAAAAATGAAATTTAATATCTAAGTTTTATGAAAGAGATGTTCTGAATAGGAGACTGAGATTCTTTTAGCGTTGTGCTGTCCCTCTGGCATATTTGAATCTGCAGTGTTGGCACTTTGCGATAAATAAGTGGGTTTTGGGTTGCAGTTTGGGCACTTGGTCTCTAAAAGGTTTGCCATCACTGGTCTAGAATATTTGTATTTGGCCCCGCACTTGTTTTATTTTTCTGATGACAAGAGAGCAAGGCTATTGACGAGGGCTAGAATATTTAACGGGTTAACAAGGCCCTGTACTGGGGCCTGTGATTTTCTTAATACAGCAGTGCTGCAATCTATTCATTTCCCTCTAAACATTACCAGTTAAAGTGAAGTTTCTTTGCAGCATGGCTCATGATAATCATAATACAGTGCAAATTTTGTCACTTGTGACTGACACCAAAGGGGAGAGCTAGTAAATATGAGTTGCTTTGATTTGTAGCACTTGTGATTTTCTGAGACCCTAGTAACTTTTCAAAAAGACGTGTGAGAACTGCTGAATAAAGATAATTGTTTCCCTAAATACTAGCCATGAATCTATTAACAACTGATTGATATTGATAATGAAGTGTGTATATGGGAATTGGAGTAGCTTTTGCTAAAGATTCCTTTCTGCAAACATTAATTAATTACACAAACATTTCATTTAGAAAATATGGCATGTTCTACTGGAACAAGTGCCGATATAGGGCATACTCAGTGCTGCTGATTAGACAGATTCTTGTTAAGTAGGAGCTCAAAGACTTTAGCTTTTTCAGTGATGCACTGTTTCATGATTACAAGTTACTTTTTGGATGCAATCCATTAAATAGGCAAGAGAAAATAAGAAATACTGGTTGTAAAATTCTGATTTTGTTGAACAGAAGTGAATATAAGTAATTTTAAATAAAGTTTTCTGAATGGAATTCTCTTCCTAATGCCCTTTATAGAAATAAGTAGGAGTGCACTTTGAGGTATAACATATTGTCAAAGCTTTATGCAGTAGAACACAGATGTAACTGGCACTTGTACTGAATTCTGACAACTGGAATTCAACAACCAGTTTTAATACTGCATAATCAAATTGAAAGGTAACTGTCAGCTGAAATAATAACATTTAGACACTTAGAAAGCAGCTTCTTTTAATACAATGCTTTTTGAAGCTTGTTGAAAACATGGTGATCATGGAACCTATTTTTTAAATAAGTATTCATATGAAACAGTTTATGGAGATTCTAGAAAATTGCTCAGTAATGAAGGATTGACTGTTGGAATCTAGCCAGTTATACCCATTTCCTTCACTGTTTTCTTAATGGCACCATAACTTATCTTTTAGAATTAGGGTCTCGCTCAGACTTGTTGCTTTTACCAAGCTTTACCCTAACTGGTAGCTTTTTATACGACTGTTCTGACATGGGACTTGCTTTTCATTTTGTACCTTCCATGTGGAGAACCATGCTAGGGCACATTGATAGTACCTTATTTTGTGCAGAGCTTGTTAAAAGTCTACTCCTTAACTTTACTCTTAAAAGGTATAATAGGCTTGCTATTATAAGATTCTTTTAATAAATGAAAAATAATCCAGGGACAACCTTGTTATGGCTTAAGTGATAGTTCTAGTGTAGTGGTAGATCTTGACATGAACTGAGATATTGATTTTCCCTGCAGATCATAGCTTTTCAGGTTAATATGCAAATTGGTCAACTTCAGTGAGAACTGAAGACGTTAGCTGTCTATTTGGAAGGATGTGATTTAAGGACCATCCAGATCTGAATGCCTTTCAAGTCTGCTTTGCATTATTGGTGGCAAACAGGAGTCTCTCAAGCTATGCCATTGCTCTCTGCTACATGGAGATGGGGTTTTAATTTATGGGGAGAAGAAGCAGGTGGATGTGGGACACTTAATACTTTATGTGCTGTTTTCCCTGACAACACATTTCCTTTCTTCATTGCCTTTTCCCATTTAATATGATAGAGCCCATGCTTGGGAACTTTGCTTGGAAGGTAAGAGATGTAGAAGGGCACTGCAAAGGAACAGCTATGGACAAGACAGTCCTGCATCTCTCCCTTCAACAACTTCTATCCTGGATTCCCAGTTCTGGAAGCTGTATGCCGTTGCACCCCATAGAGAGTTGGTTGGCCATTACTTAAAAAGGATTTTGATTAGATGGACCCTTGCTCTGCTCTGTTATTAGTTAACTGACTGGGGAGAAACTGGTTAGTGTGTATTTGTGTAATTATATAGTGTATTTAAACACACACATACACGCCACTATATAAAACATGGTGAGAAAGGGAGTGAGTGAGAGAGAATTTAGTACACATCCCTGCCAACCATTTCTGAACTGTAAATTTTGCCCTCTTCCCTTGTAGCAGAGAAGCAGTTGCTGGTGTACCCAGATCTGTGTATGGTCTTTTATTTGACTTCACATAAAGCTTAAAAATAAATTGACAATTTTTCTTTTATTGAAAAATATATTACTATTAATTTGAGTTAGATTTATTTAATAAAGAGAAACAGCTTTCTAGGAGCTGTAGAAATTAGTAATAAGCCAGATCACATTTGTTATTTTTTAGGTAATTTATAATTCATAGTTTATTTTTCTTATGGTATTTTTCTTGTCTTTCTATAGGGATTAAAGACACACAGGAGTCTTCATGGATATAGTTGATACATTTAACCATTTAATTCCTACTGAACACTTAGATGATGCCCTATTTCTAGGATCCAACCTGGAGAATGAAGTCTGTGATGATTTTAGTACAAGTCAAAATGTCTTAGAGGATTCGCTGAAGAACATGCTCAGTGATAAGGACCCTATGCTAGGATCTGCAAGTGCTCAGTTCTGTTTGCCTGTTTTGGATAGCACTGATCCCAATTTCCAGATGCCTTGTTCAACAGGTAACTCTTAATATTTCTAAGTTTACAGTTTTAAGTAGAGCAGCATTGTAGTTTTGAACCCTTTGTTCTGAAAACATGGTTTTCTTCTCTGTTGTGCTTCATGATTTAGAGCCTGAGGTTCAAGCACTAGCTGGCCCTCAATTCACCTGCAATAACTATAAGAAAGAGATTAAGTGGTCTTAAAATGAGATCTGGAGAGGCATGCTTGTAACTGTGTTCGGTTACTCTTTATTTTACTAAAATAGGGATTTGTTTGCATAGTATGATATCCATGATAAGCTACTATAACTTGCAGTATGCAGTTTTAGGGTGCATCGGTTTCAAAAAACATTTCTTTTTAATTTGCTTAAAAAGATGTAAAGTCATCATTAGGCAGATTAGAGAGGATAACAGATATATCTTTGTTGAGATGGTTTCAGTTTGTTGAAGTGTGCCTCAGTTCAGAAAGTTTTTGAGGTATATGCTATAAAATGGTCCCTCTGTCTGGGATACCTAATACATTGAATAATTTAATATAAAAATTATCATGCTAGTACTCTGTATAACAGCTTCATAAATAGGTAGGATAATAATGTGCTTGATATTTTGGGATCTGTGCTATTGGTCCTGAGATGTTTTAGCTGTTTTCTAAACCTACAGAATCATTCTATCTTCCTTTCCTTTCATGCTACTGTATATCTGCCTTTCCCATGTGATTGGTGCAGGTCCTGAACTCCAGTCCTCTTTCCTATTGTTGCCTAAATTGTTCAAGGTATTTCATGATGAAAATTGGGAAAACCCATCTGTAGGACATATGTTTAAAACTGAAAAAAAAAAAATGCTTAGCTTGTAGGCAGTCCTGCTGTGCTGATTAGAGGGTCCAAGATTCTAATCTTTAACTGCATCTCTACCATTTTATGATCATTAATGTCAATACTGAATGACCCCTGAATATTAAGTAATGAGGACTGTTCTAACCCTAAATACCTGTAGTGACTGTTGTGCTTAGGATTCTATTGGGATCGAATGATTAAATAGAGTTGCAGGACAATTTTTCTTAAAATGGATTTTGAACTTTTTTTGGCAAATATTATTGGAAAAAACAACTATATTTTCTACTTTAATCTTTAGTCATTAACTGTGGCAATTTTATAGAAAGAGAGTGATCATGAATGTAACTAGAATTTGGGTTGATACAGCTTCACATGGAAGGGATGGTATAATGCTAAATGCCAGTTCAAAACATTGAATTGTCTGGTGAGTCCAGACACAGAATTTCCTTGCCGTTAATAGAGTGTATGATAGCCAACACCCTAGCATGTATGAGGTTAGAGGTGTAAAATTTATAGAAGCTTTTGAAGCTACAGATGGAATAGAGTGGGGAGGGAATGCACAGCGTATACACAGCTAGTATCAAACCTAAAATTACCTTAAGTACTTTAAGATCATGCTATGTAGCATGTATATAGTACTGTAAATCATTTTTTCTGCTTTGCATTATGTTTAAAAGTATAATGCAAAGACTGACCACATGTTTTACCCTTAAATACAGCCTAAATAAATAACTAGCTCCTGAGCCTAGGTTCATGGAAGAAGTGATATCTGAACTAGTACATTTATGCTTACAGATGCAGCTTTTTGTGATGATAATACCACTACTGCAACTGAAATTGTCCTCCCTGTCCCCAGTCAAAATTTTTTTGGGAAGCATTTTTTTACATTATAACAATGAGGTTGCCAGGTTATATGTTACTGTTGCCTTAAAGTTGGTGCGCGCGCTCACTGCCTTTCTCTCTCATTCATATCCTGCCTTTCTTCCCTCAAGGAGCTCAAAGTCGCTTCATAATCCTACTCTTCCTCTCATTCTTATCCTTAAAACAGACATGTAAGGTAGGTTAGACTGAGAGTCAGTGGCTGGAACAGAGTCACCCAGTGAACTTAATAGACGAGTGGGGACTAGCACCCAGATCTCCCAGATCCCTGCCCAATGCTTTAACCACTTCATTACACTGGCTCTTGCTGTTTTTTCTATCTGTGGGCTCTTGTGTCTGAAGGAATGTTGAACATTGGCCCTTTCAGTTAGGAAGAACTGAAAAACTGGCATGGTTTTTGAGCTTAGTGCTATTCTCAGTACTGTTCAGATGTCCTTGATAAGAAAGTAGGAAAGTCACTGCACATTTGTGTAATTTATATGCTAGCAAGCATATAAAGAACACAAATTAAGTAACATATTCTGTTTATTATTGTGGGCTCTCTCCTGAGCCCAGACTAGCATGTCACCACAGATGCTTGGATCTAATGGGACAGGCCACTTAATGTCCTCCAGCTTTTTGGACTGTAGCTCCCATAATCCTTATCCATTCGCCATATTGCCTTTAGTAATCTAAAACATTTGAAGGGTACCAGCTAGCCCACTCCTTTCCTAGAAGATCTATTCTTCGTACTGGTATGATATTCTTGAAGCCTGTTTGTTCTTCAACTCCTTCAGCTCTGTAGTGTGTTCAGCTCTCAAGTTATGAATATTTATATCTGCTAGTCAAACTACAAAAACGTTTATAGTTTCCAACTCATTGAGAAATACTACAAGTACTACTACTGCTTCTGAGTCTGATCCTATGAATGTTTACTTGGAAACAAGTTTCACTTTGTTTAATGGAGATGGTTTTTCCAGGTCAGTGTGCTTTCTGTTGATTTATATTTGCATGCTGGCTTTCCACAAAGGACACCCAAGTAATGAACAACAATATGAAAACAATACCTAATAAGGGAAAATAGATATAAAATGAAAATCAATAGTAAAATAGTAAAGCAGTGTTCATAATTTTAAAACGCAGATGAGAAGTTTGTCTTAATTCTTTTCTGACAAGCCAAGAAAGTGGAAATCTTTGCTCTGAAGGAAAATGTTTCCTTGGAAGCAATATAATAGAAAGCTCCATCTCACATACTTGACAAACAAATCTAAAGAGGCTTATTTGTAGATCTTAATAGCCATACAGGTTCAAAGCAAGACAGCTGATCTCTCAGTTACCCAAGCCCTGATCCATTTTAGGGTTCAGTCCTGTGCATGTTGAAAAAGAAACCCCTATCTAAAATTTCAGTACTTTGCATTGGTTGTCAGCATAGATACATCAGTTGCAGTTTCTATATGTTCTTCTAGCCTTGTATAGAGTACATTGCTGTGGTATAATTGCATTGTGGCCACAGATTGGAAAATGGTTGCCAAATTGCAGCCTTCAAGGAAGTGATCTTGCTTAATTTCCTTGAAAGCTTACAGGGAGAGAAAAGTGTCTCTAAGCAGATAAATTTTTGGTGTGTACAGTGGATGAATGATGCATGATTTTAGATTAGGTGACATAAAAGCTTTATTTAGTCTCACACCATCATGTTGTAAATATTATAGCTGCCAAATAATATCCATGCTTGTTTAGTAAATAACTGGTTTTCAAAATAGGAAAGTTGATTTAAGTGGGTCTCCTTCTTGGTGCTTAAAAGTATGTTATAAAATAGGTTTCTTAAATTGGGCAGGACATAGATTCTTTGAAGGTTGTTTTCCTCCCCAAGAAGTCATGCTACCTGGGTTCATACATACATACATACATATATTCCTTTTACATCATTATTATGCAGTTGTCCCACTGCCTGTCCAGTTAGTTTCTGACTTCTGTGCTATTATGTTTAGGTAGTTAGTTGCTCCAATGTTTTGTTCTTAGCTTTCCTTATTTGTTTTTAGTTTACCAGTGTTGTGGTTTTCTTTCTTTGGCTTATTGGGGTAAAACTTCTAGTGGAATTTATTTCAACAGGTTTTTCAATCTTTTACTTAATGAATCTCTTTGGGCATTTTTGTGCCTTTGATGAGGAGTGGTATGAGTGTTTTATGGCGATTTTTAAATACTCCCAAGTTTTCTTAAAATATTTTATGGCCTTAATTAAACTGTGTATCTTATTTTGCACTAATACTACCATGAGAAATCCTTTCTTTTAAACTATGATTTTAAGACATCCTTTTTACATCCTAGACAATTTTTCCTGCATATATAAATGACATGCATGTTGATATCACTGTTTTCAAGCAATTTGATAGGCAGCTTGCAGTGTTGTAATTATATTTGGGCTTGTTACTCATCTTAAATTGCTTTATTGTCTAATTGTTATCTTGGCCATTTCTTATGCCAGAGAATAATTATGGCAAAGATGTATAGGCTTTAAATATATATTTAACTTCAGTCCAAAGAACTTGAAATTATGAAGATCTGTTCTCTTTAAAACTCACTATGGTGCTCAGCATCTTGTATTTAAAGGCCTTTTCCTCTCATTTTTCACAATTTTGCATGTGCCTGTATAATTGCCACCTTTGCTCTTAGTAGTACTGCAGTAGCTCACCGGTAAAGCATGTGCTTTGCATGCAGTATGTCCTAAATTCAACCCCTGGCTTCTCCAAGCAGAACCGGGAAAATTCCAACCTGAAAACCTAATGCAAGTCCATATTGACAATACAAAACCAGTGGTTTGACTTGGTATAAACAGCTACCTGTGTTCGAGAAGTTCAAGCAGTCAAATTCAACTGCTAACTTGATTTGTGTATGTGTTTTTTTTGTGGAGGGTGTCTCTTACTTTATCTAAGACAAGTTGAATCTTTTTTTTTTCTCACTCATTTGAAAGGAGATGGAATGTGCAGAAATATTTTTTCTTTCACTTGTCTATCTGCTGCTATATTCTCTTTTCTTCTGAGTATTCAGTTGGGAAAGCTGTTTCTTCTTTGCTTTGATCTTTCTAAGCAGTTTCAAGATATTCAAAGGGAGTGCAGGAATAGTGGAATTTTGCAAATGGAGTGCAAAAGCTGCATCCATGAAGTGGGGCAATTTTTGGCCCAAAGACTGTCATATGTGTATCCCAAGGCTAGACTGTCATTGATAGTGTCTGAATGCAAGTATGAAATAATTGGAAAATTGGAAAGTTATAAATGCTAGAAAATGTTGACTAATTGGTTTAGTTCGTTAAAATAGAAAAATAGGCTAATCATT